ATCCATTCACCTCAGCCTCCCAAAGGCGCAGGATTACAGGCTGAACCACCGAGCCCAGCTGTAATTTGTGTTTTTAAAAATGCTGAGTATTTGCATGTATTCACATAGAAGAAAGATGTTTGGGGTCTTTTAAATTTTTCTTCTTTATGCTATTCTTTTTTTCTTTTTTCTTTTGTTTTGTTTTTTGTTTTTTTTTAGTTAGAGTATCACTCTATCATCCAGGCTAGAGTGCTGTGGCACACCATGGCTACTGCAATCTCAATCTGCGAGGCTCAGGTGATCCTTCTATATCAGCCTTCCAAGTAGCTGGAACTATAGGCATGCACTATCATGTCCGGCTAAATGTTTAATTTATTGTAGAGATGAGTTCTCTGACAAATTGCCCAGGCTGATCTCAAAACTCTGGGCTAGGCAATCCTCTTGCATCTGGCAAAGAGCTAGAATTGTAGGTGTGAGCCACCAAACCCATTCACTCTTTATACTATTCTATAGCCCTCAAATTCTTTGCAAACATATAATTTCATAATGTTAAAAAAAATCTGTGTAAGTATATACATATGTGTGTGTGTACTGTATTTATTAAAAGTAAGAATACTAGAACATTATTTTAGCATAGAAATGTCATTTACTTTTGCTTTTTTTTTTTTTGAATTGGAGTCTCACTCCTTCGCCCAGACTGGAGTGCAGCGGCTGCTCCCGGCCACCGCAGCCTCGACCTGCTGGGCTCCGGCGATCCTTCTGCCTCAGTCTTCGAAGTAGCTGGAACTATAGGCACACGCTACCATGCCTGGCTAATTTTTGATTTATTGTAGAGATGAGGTCTCACCAAGTTACCCAGGCGGGTCTCGAACCCGCGGGCTCAGGCAATCCACTCACCTCAGCCTCCCAAAGCACGGGATTACAGGCTGAGCCACCGAGCCCGGGTTACTTTCTGTTTTTTTTTTTCTTTTAATCTTTCTATTAAAGAAAAAGAGTTCTATGTCTTCAGCATTCACAAAACTACCATTTTATTTCAATATTTATCATGTTTATAAGCATCATATGTCCAGGGTAACAAAGAAAGTTCTTATAGAAAAAAAAAATGAAAGTTTGATTTAAGAGAATAATTATTCTTAAAGCTATATAAAAAACTTCAATCCAGTAGTTCTTCTTGTTCTGAGAACCTGTATTTAAGAAAGCTAATAGTTTTTACATATATTATCTTATATCACACATTAACTCTCACCCCAAGGCAGCTATGACTGACAAAGTGGTCTCTGCCACTCCAGGTATAAGGTAAATATACTCAAGGATATAAGACAAATGGCAATCAAAGAGCAAAAGGCAGTTGTGAAATCTCCCCCAAGATGAATATTACATTTAAATTGCCAATGTGAAGAATGCCAAAGGGAGTTTTCAGGCAAAGCTTAACACATTCAGGCAAGAAAATGACATCTGATATTAACCCTTTACCATATTACTTTTTCTTCAAAAGAAGACAGAAAAAGTCATTATGCAATGAACTTATAAATAATTTATCTATACTAACATACCTAAAAAATACCCTGGAGACCATTTTCTGATAATGAGGTCAGTTGGCTAATGGGGTGGGGACCAGGAGAGTGGGGAATGAAAACCCTGAGGAAAACAAATTTTGGTTTACAACTTCCAAAGACAATTATCTTCAAGAGAACATTTATATGAAATCAATCTCATTTTTAGAGAGAAGAACAAATTAATTGTACAAACCTCATGTTTATTTTTTTATCCTTATAAGAACAGCTATCAAAGAAGTGACTCAAACTATTTCCCAGTTGTTTTTATTTTCAGAGTAGTATGGCATACCACACTCTCCATTCATTCATACATTCACTCTTTTTTTGTTTGTTTGTTTGTTTGTTTAAATTTACTGAGCTAGGTACAGAGAATATTGTATGAAACAAAAACAACATGTCTCCTAACATCCTCAATTTGTGTTTGGTTTGGCTCCTATGTTGCTCATGTATACAACAGAACAGATCATTAATTGTTCAATTCCTCAATTAGACTAGGTATTCCCTGAAGACAAGAACCATATTTGCAGCATCTTAGTGACTTTAAAAAAAAAAAAAAAAAAAACTTAATTTTTTGTAGAGACAAAGTCTCACTATGTTTCCCAGGTTAGTCATGAATTTCTATTCTCAAGCGATCTTCCCACCACAGTCTCCCAAACTGCTGGGATTATAAGCATCAGTCACCAATCCTGGTCCATTTTAGTGTCTTAATGTCTTCAGTACTAAGTAGCATCTGACAAATAATAAATTAGACATTATGTATGCTGATTAAATCAATAAATGAATAAAGAAACAAAGGAGCCTACAATCTCACCCATAAAGGAACATATATATACAAGTAGAGCAAAAATGTTCCCAAAGGATTTTACTTGCTATCCTTCTCTGGGCTTAAAACTTCATAAAGTAAAATGCTATCATTTGTATGTTATACTACAATATTGTAGTGAATTTTCAGTAATAGAAAGTGTTAAAATGAAAATCTGTGAAAAAAAAGTAGAGAATAAGATAAATAATAATTTTTTAAAGTATTCCAAAGTTTCCAACTTTCCCTTTCACCATCATTGCATAAATACAATACCATGTAGTGAAGAGCTAACATTAAAACTCTTCAAAGATATCAAAGATTTTTCAGAATGTTTATGTATATAGTATCACAGTCTTAGCATTGGTTGCATTTTCACTGTTTCATTTTATACCTTAGATGAAGATCTTCTGAAAACTTCAGACAGGCGTAGATAAATTCTTTAATTTGGTTGTAAACTTTTGGCACAAATTCAGAAAAAGGAAACTTTTTTGGAAACGGTTGCTGTAAATGCAAGAATTAATGAAAGCAAGTCACAAACCAACAAGCAATGAAAATATTTATAAATTATTTAAACTACAAAAAGAACTTTCTGTTACATTGTGAACTCCCATTTAAGAAAATGTCTCCAAAAGTTTTCTGATACTAAAAAGAATAAGACATAAGTTTAAATAAAAGAATAATCTAAATGTCCTTCATCAGATGAAGTCAATAAACAACTTGAGGCACATACTCAGCATTTTTTAAAAAAATGAATGACTGATACATGTAACAACTTCGATGAATTCCAAAAGCATTATGCTGAGTCAAAGAAGTCAGTTTCAAAAGTTACACGCTATATAATTCCATTTATACAGCATTCTCGAAAAAGCAAAAGTAGATTGACAGAGACCAGATTGGTGGTTTCCAGGAACTGGGGTTAGGGGAGGATTGATTACAAAGGAGCAACATTAGGGAATTTTTTGGTATGACAGAATTGTTTTGTATCACTCAGAGTAGATACAGAACTCAATGCAATCTCAAAACCAACAGATTTATATACCACACACAGTAAATATTACTGCAAGTTCTTGGGAGAAAATACCTTTAAAGTATTTTTTAAAAAGCAAGTATTTCAAAGTATAAACTGAATTGGAATACTATCAGCAACCTTCCAAATACTTCAGAAGTGATAGGACCCAAAGTCATCTGCTGATTCCCACATCAGAAAATTCTGTTATTCTAAAACCCAAAAGAGTCCTTTGAAGGTATTTTAGAGTTCTGATCCGTAAAGTGAAGGTAATGCTTTCAATGAAAACTATCCAATGAAAGCTTTTAGAGGATGCCAAAACAACCAGAGAAATTTATTTTAAAGTACTCCTTACCTTTTCCAGTTCTATATCTTGGAATGGGAATTGTCCTACCACCTTTTTATACATCCCTTCACTTGTTACTGGTATGGGACTATAGTTGTCAGAATCAAGTATGTTTCTACAAATAAAATGGAAGGAAGGGTTAGTTACAAATAATTTTCTAATGAACTCCAATAGTTGTATATATACCATAACCCAAAATGAATGCTTTCCATCCAAGTTATATTCCATCTGCAATACAGCTATTTGGTTTTGGTTAAAGGTATCTTTAAAAAAAGACAAAAAGGGCTGGGCTCGATGGCTCAGCCTGTAATCCCAGCACTTTGGGAGGCCAAGGCGAGTGGATTGCCTGAGCCCAAGGGTTCAGGACCCGCCTGGGCAATTTGGTGAGACCTCATCTCTACAATAAATCAAAAATTAGCCTGGTGTGGTAGCACGCGCCTGTAGTTCCAGCTACTTGGAAGGCTGAGGCAGAAGGATCACTGGGGCCCTGCAGGTCGAGGCTGCAGTGGCTGGGAGTGGCCACCGCATTCCAGTCTGGGTGACAGAGTGAGACTCCAACTCAAAAAAAATAAAAATAATAAAAATGACAAAAAGAAAACTGTACTCTGAAATGAAGCACAATTATAAACTTGATCTCCTAGTATTTGACATTTACAAATAAAACAGAAATTTTAAAGCAAGTGACCAGTAGAAAAACAAAAGAATGTGGGTTCTAGAAAAAGCAAAGGACATTTTTGTTTGTTTTAATAAGATATATTTGATTATGTTTTTAAATCTTATACTTAATCTTCTACTTTAACTTTCGAAATTGGCAAATAGAAAAAGCAACTTCAATAATAAATCCTAACCATGTTCATTTACTTCATCTACTTCTCTATATTAATTATGATTTTTTTTCATCTATAGGCTCTCCCTCCTTAGCTAGACTGGGTATTCTCTAAAAGCAGAAACAATACTACCAAAATCAAAACAGAGATTCATTGAAGGCATTCGATCAGAAGCACTATGGATATATCATGCTATTAATTTTCAAATTTCTCACAGACATAACTATCTTCTAAATACAATTATACCATTGGATAAATCTGAGTTTTAGAAATATAAACATTTATATTACTATACAGATGAATTGAACTAAGTGATGATCAGATGCTCATAAACCATGAAGATTAAGATTAAAAGAACATGTAAGATATTAATGCTACAAGAATTTGAAAACAGGACAAGCTGATTGGGAGACAGTCTTAGAATAGACAGGAAGATTACTCAAAATGAAAAGTTTTACAAAGAGAAGAAACTCAAATGAGTTGACATAAGGTACGTACCAAGAAACCAGCCTAAGAAGACAATTGTGATTGGGAAATGTAACTGAGTAACTTTCTTATTACCATATGCATGCTGCAATAACTACTTAAATAATATACTTCAAAGATTGGACTGTAATAGGCCCCTTCTCTGTATGTAGAGAGGGAACACAATAAGAAATAACATGAGTGAGTCCTCAAAAGAAATTTCTCAAAAACCTAATTATTCATAGGTACTTTAATGCTATTCATTGTGAGTTGTAGATAAGGCATTAATCTCAAAGAGAAAAAACAAAAAAGAAGACATTAGATTATCTGGATGGTATGAACTAAGGAATCTGACATTTATCCTAGGATACAAAAATGCCAAAATAGGGTCTGAGAATTTCCCAACACAGTATACTCTAATACACTGAGACTGGATATCTTGTGAGCATCATTTTGGACATTATTACAATTCACTTGAATTCTGGATCCTAGAATAATTAGAAAATATAAGCCATATATACTTGTGGCTTATCAGATCTGAAAAACCTTGTACATAGATACATGTGTGTACGCCGATGCACATGAACATACACACATATTACCATAAATAATTTCTTACCTGAAAATACCTGCCCATTTCTTTAGCAAAGTTTCACTATACTGGTCTCTGATTTCTAATAGCATATCAAAAAGCTGATTAACAGGAAAGCCATACACCTGAAACAAAATAAGAAAACTGCTTCATTTTCTAAGGTAAGATTTTGTTTTGTTTTGTTTTTGCAAAATAAAAGATTTGGCACTGAAAGGTATTCTGTTCTATGAATAGCAATTTAAGTGAAACAATATATACCAAAATGTCTAAGCCAGTCAGAAAAAAGACAAAGATAAAAATTCAAGTCAATATATACTGAGTATAATACTACTGGCTAAGTCCTCCTTACAGCTCCTCCTATAACTCTTACCTATAGCAAGCTTCAGATAAAGTGAAAATACTACTGAGCTCACCCACTTCTAATACTATTCTGCTAGATATAACGTGGTTCAAATCAACAATCATTATTCAAGATAGTAGTTAAAAGACACTACATCACTTAGGCATTATATCTGAATCAAGAACATTTTGAAAAATGAATGTAGTAAGTGGTTCAATTAATTTATTTAAGATTTTTTAAATGAGTGGAAATTTTTTATAAAAACAAAAATAGTCAGGGTGAAGTCCAGAAGATGATTTAAAAAAAAAAAAAAAAAAGACAAAAAGATCTAGTCTAGCTCTAGGAAAAGAATAAACACAACCAAAAACTAGAAGGTACTTATTTAAGCTTATGTAGACCACAGAAAGATTTAGAGCTGATGATATACTAATCTAGATAAGCACATGTTAACAGAATTTGCATACCTGAAGTGTGTCAGCAAAAAGCACAATGAGGTTCTTCAAATCTAACACAAGGTTTGGATCAGAGCAGTAAGACTAAAGGAAATAAAAGACAAAGGGGAAAAACTTCTTAATTATTAAAAATATAGCTGAATTTTTATTTATCTAATTGTTTAACACTTTGGTGAATTTTTATTTATCTAATTGTTTAACACTTTAACTGGTGAAGGCTCCGAGGAAAAAATCCAACGCTTTCCAGGTACAAAAGATCCAGGAAAGAACCGAATAGAGAGAGTTCTATAACAATAATTTATATTTTTAATGCTTGAAAATTTCAAAACATACTTCTAAATAATGCTTTGGTTAAAAAGGAAAACAATATTATGGTAACTGCTCATGATCCCCTTATGAGTGAGAATATGTGGTACTCTGTTCTTTGTTTCTGTGATAGATCACTCAGTATTATAGATTCTAAATCCATCAAGTTGCTGCAAAGTACAGATGCTAGTCATTCTTTATGGTTATACAATATTCCATACAAAAATTTGCACACAGAAGTTTATAGTACTTTTAACTATAATAGCAAAAACTTGGAACCACCAAGATATCCTTCAGTAGGTAAATGGATAAGTAAACTGTGGTACACCCAGACAATGAAATATTATTCAATGCTAAAAAGAAATGAGCTATCAAGCCATGAAAAGACAAGGAGGAACCTTTAACACATATCACTAAATGAAAGAAGCCCACCTGAAGAGATTATATACTATATGACTCCAATCACAGGATATTCTGAAAAAGGCAAAACTATGGAGACAGTGAAAATATCAGTGATAATCAGGAGTTAAGAGTAGAGGGAGGGATGAACATGTGAAGCACAGAGGATTTTTAGGGCAGTGAAAATACTCTATAATACTATAAGAAACATGTCATTATGCATTTGTCCGAACCTGTAGAATATACGCTAAGCGTGAACTTCAATATAAACTATGGACTCTGGGTAATTAGGATATGTTAATGTAGGATCATCAGTTATCACAAATGTATCACTCTTGTGGGGGATGTTGACAGTGGGGCGGCTATGCATGTGTAAGGACAGGGTGTATCCGGGACATCTTTGTACCTTTTGCTCAATTTTGCTGTTAACCTAAAACTGCTCTGAAAAAAAACAAAGTCTTTAATAAAATAAAATAGACCAAAAAAAGAAAAAGAAAACAAGTTGATACTACAGATTACTTTAAAACAGACAACAATAAAACACTTCACATAAAAAATGGTATGTAGCTAAAACTACTTTTAAAATAAATTTGTATCTTTTTATGCAACCATTAGAAAACACAAAAGGCTGAAACTCATTAAACTAGGGGGCAAGTAAAACAAATGTAAGTTAAATGAGAAAATATACAATTGTAAAAGTAAATATAAAATTGTAAAAATAAAAGCAAAATTAGTGACACGAAAAAATTTATAAAATCCCAAGTTAAAAATAGAATTAGTAAATAGACAAATCTTAGACAAGTCTGGTTAATCTATAAATGAGAAAATGTTAATAATACAATAAATACAAAAGAAAAAATAAACTAATATAGAGGACAACAAAAATTATAAGTAAAATCCATGTATAACCCCATGAGTTTTTTTAAGAACAAATCTAAAAACATAACTGACATGAAAGATAGTTTCTGTGAGCAGGATACAAAGATGTATGTCATTATTTCAAAAGCTCACTGGTTTTGATGTATTTGTCACTATTTTTAAAGTTCATTGATTTTGACACTCAAATTCTTTCCACTATAATTTTTGTTACCTGTTCTGTATTTGATCTCTCAATTCCTAAAAGAGGTATGTTGAATTCTACCATAATGATGTGGCTCATCAGTTTCTCTTTGTATTATAACTATTTGTTTTATACATACTAATGGCTTCTGTGTCCCTTATAAAAGGTCTACTGTCTTCTCAGTGGATTAAAACTAAAATCAATACAAAATATCTTTCTCTTCTCCAATTTGAAGATCTTCAACTTCAATTCCATCTGCTTTGTAGAATACTGTCATTTATGCTTCTCATTCTTTATTTTAAATCTTTATAGGTAATCTTAATTTATGAATATCACCTAGTAATAATACTAAAAAACTTTCTAATGCTTTGACATTTCCTAGGATTACTGACATATATAGGCCTATTCAGCATATTTTACGTTTGTAATTTACAATCTTTTTTTTTTTTTTGAATTGGAGTCTCACTCTGTTGCCCAGACTGGAGTGCAGTGGCTGCTCCCGGCCACTGCAGCCTCGATCTGCTGGGCTATGGCGATCCTTCCGCCTCAGCCTTCCAAGTAGCCGGAATTACAGGAAGGCGCTACCACGCCCGGCTGATTTTTTGATATATTGTAGAGATGAGGTCTTGCTGCCCAGGCGGGTCTCGAACCCATGGGCTCAGGCAATCCACTCACCTCAGCCTCCCAAAGGGCACAGCATTACAGGCTGAGCCACCGAGCCTGGCTAATTTACAATCTTTTAAAAAATTTTCTTCAGTGTTGTTTTATTAGATCAGTTCTTTTTAATTATCTTATAGTGTCTAATAAATTACCTTGAGTCTTCATCTTTAAAAAGACTCTTGAACATGATGTCTCTCTTTTTATGGGAATTATTAATAGCATTAAACATTACAAATAATAATCAGTTATTTCTATTTATCTACAAATTTTACTCATTTGTGCACACATTTTATCTAATTCTAGCTCATATGATATTTGGGGTTTTTCATTTTTTGGAGAAGACCAGTAAGAATCTTTTAAAAACAGTATAGGTAAAAAGCAAATTTTGAATCTGGAAATATTAGAAAATGCCTTTCTATGTTCTTGTACCATTAGAACAGGATAGAGATTTCAGAAGCAAAACTTCAATTTCTCAATCAACATCTACAACAAAGCCTCCACCAACAACCACAGGGGAGAGGAGACCCTATTCGGTAAACGGTGCTAGGAAACTGGCTGACCACATGCAGAAGAATGAAACAGGACCCCCACCCATCATCATACAAAAAAATCAACTCAAAGTGGATCAAAGACCTAAACGTAAAACCTTAAAGTATAAGGATCTTAGAAAACACAGGAGCCACCTTTATGCACGCTGAAATAGGCAACCAATTCTTGATCATAACCCCAAAAGCATATGCCACAAGAGATAAGATTTAGACGGGCGCAGTTGCTCATGCCTATAATTCCAGCAATTTGGGAGGCCAAGGTAAGAGGATTCTGAGCCCCTGGTTCAAGACCAGCCTGGGCAAATTCTCAAAACCTCCTCTCTACAATAAATCAAAAAATTAGCCAGGCATGGTGGCGTGCGCCTGTAGTTCCAACTGTTTGGAAGGCTGAAGCAGAAGGACTGCCAGAACCAGTAGGTCGCGGCTGCGGTGGCCGTGAGTGTGCCACTGCACTCAAGCCTGGACGACAGAGAGAGACCTCAACTCAAGAGAGAGAGAGAGAAAGAGAGAGAAGATAGACAAATGGGACCTCATAAAACTGAAAAGCAAATGAAACCATTAGAGAGCAGGGAGACAGTACACAGAATGGAAAAAAATATATCTGAAAAACTGTGTATCTGAAAAAGGCCTAACATCCAGGATATACAAGGAACTCAAATGAGCCAAAAGGAAAAAACAAACAACCCTATTAAAAAATGGGCAAAAGGCCAGACATGGTGGCTCAAGCCTATAATCCTAACACTTTGAGAGGTCGAGATGAGAGGATTGCCCCGAGCCCAGGGGTTCGAGACCAGCCTGAGCAACTTGATGAGAATTTGTCTCTATAATAAATTAAAAAAAAAAAAAAAAAATAGCTGGGCATGGCAGTGCGTGTCTGTAGTTCCGGCAATTTGGATGCTAAGGCAAAAAGATCACCTGAGCCCAGCAGGACGATGCTAGGGTGGCCATGAGCATGCCACTGCATTCCAGCCTGGGCCACGGAGTGAGACTTCAACTAAAAAAAAAAAAAAGTGAACAAAAGATGTGAATAGACACTTCTGAAAAGAAGATATATGAACAGTCAACAGATACGTGAAAAAATGCTCAGTCTCACTAATCATCAGAGAAATACAAACCAAAACCACTAAGATACCACCTAACTCCAGTGGATGGCCATCATTAACAAATAAATAAATAAAAACAGATGCTGGCAAGGATGTAAAGCAAAAGGAACGCTTCTACACTGTTGGTGGGAGTGTAAACTAGTACAACCTCTATAGAAAACAGTGTGGCAATTTTTAAAAGATCTAGAAATTGAACTTCCATACGACTCAGCAATCCCCCTTCTGGGAATACGTCCTGAGGAACTCAGATCATTCTACCTAAAAGATACCTGCACACACTGGTCTACTGCAGCACTACAGCACAATAGCAAAAACATGAAACCAGCTGTGCTACCCACTGAAAGTAGACGGGATTTAAAAAATGTGGTATATATACATGATGGAACATTACGCAGCTATGAAGAAGGACAAAATTATGGACTTTGCAGCAACTTGGATGGATTTAGAGTCTATCACACTCAGTGATCTATCACAGAAACAAAGAACTGAATACCACATGTTCACATACATAAGTGATTCCAGAATATCTCTCACAATCTACAACAAAGGGATTGGCAGCAGCGGGATGCTGCCAGGGGGCTGGGGTCACACATAACATCACTAAGAATACTTGATCCTAAACCATGGGATGTGAGGACCAATGGGAGGCCCAAACTTCACCTGTACATAGAAAATTTATCCTAATCCTGACTTGTACCCCACATTTTAAAATGAAATAAAGAGAAAAAAGAAAACGCCTTTCTTTTGCCCTCAAACTAAAATATAAAATGTCAGATATGAAAAAAATTGTCTCCTGTCATTGACCCTGCCTAACAATCAATGTATCTTTTCAACTTTAAGAATTTCGTCCTATTTGTTTTACAATAGATTAATTTCCTTCTGTCACTGCAGTCCCTTCTTCTGTCGCTGCCTTTCCTTCTAAATCTCTGTTAGATACATCCAATAAAATCTATATCAATTATTCATGTTACTTAACTTTCCCCTCATATTTTCCATCTCTTTGTGTTT